GTCTTGTTACGTGCTCAGACCAAATCGATTTCTACCCTGCGATGGTCGTAGATGTCTCTCTCTTTCTCTCTCTCTCTCTTTCTCTCTCTCTAATTTTCCATCCATGAACTTCTTTCTCACTCTTCCTCTCAATCTCTCTCTCTCTTTCTCTCTCTCTTTCTCTCTCTCTCTCTTTCTCTCTCTCTTTCTCTCTCTCTTTCTCTCTCTCTCTCTTTCTCTCTCTCTTTCTCTCTCTCTCTCTCTCTAAATTTTCCATCCATGGACTTCTCTCTCTGTTTCTCCCCCTCTCTTTCTCTCTCTGTCTGTCTGTCTCTCTCTCTCCCTCTCTCTGTCTCTCTCTATCTATCTATCTCTCTCTGTCTTGATCTCCACATAGGCGTAAATGATAATGCCCGGGCTTAGGGACCTACCACTCTCTGACAAATTACGGGTTTGTTCTCAGAGTGCTTGTATACGTGTCGGAGATAGATTTCCTCGCTCCATCATCGTCGGAGATAACCGAACTCCGTTCTCGTGAGCCTAGCCAGCGCGTATTAATTAAATTTTAATGTAAATCACCACACTCCGTTGTGCTCCTCGTGCCCAACGTGCTCCGACATTTTTGTAACGTCCGAAAGGAGAAAGCCCCAAGCTGAATACATTAATAGTCCGAGTGTTAAGTTATGTAAAAAACGTAGTCTCGAAAGATTTACAACAAAACAAAAAATTCATCCGAAGTTCTTTACTAAACGAGTGAGAAAGAGAGAGAGAGAGAGAGAGAGAGAGAGAGAAAAGAACAAAAAAAAAGACAGCAAATAAAAATAAAATATAAATTAACGAAGAGAGAAGGTAACTTAAACGAAACGGTTCTTACGAAATCGGCGAACTTCTACGAACATCGTCGTCTTGTTCGGTAATATTACGAACGACGTGCAAGTTTCTACCCTCAAAGCCAAGATTCAAAATGGCTCTCGCAAACTCGGAATACTCGGTTAGGTGTCGGCACTCAAGACAAGTTTATTCGTGAAACATACCGCGTCGATGTTCTTCCACGATCACTAAGATCTCATCCCCTATTTTATCTCTCTCTCTCTCTTTCTTATACGCACACACAAACGCATACATACATATACATACACAGACATAGCCAAAGACAGTGCCGTTTCCGCTTCTCGTTCGGCTAGCAGTCCACGGAATTAATTGCAACGACCGTGTCTTAATTGATAACGAACGGGCATTAAGATTTCGCGTAATGTCTCTTCGAAAGACGAAGGTAGTCGTGGAGACGAAGTTATACGAATAGAATGAGAAGAAGAAGAAGAGAGAGAGAGAGAGAGAGAGAGAGAGAGAGAAAGATAGAGATAGAAGATGGCCGTCGCCAAACATCCCAGACGCGACCCAAACTAGAAGGAGAATCCTAAGGAGAGAGGTGAAATAATGTCGAGCACAAGGAGGCTCGTATTTGCATTAGCTATTCGTTTGACCCTAAAAACTGTCTGAATTGCACCAATGGTTGCTCGTAAAGCCTGAGCAATATCGCAACGAGGATCACACTGGAAATACGAAACTCTCGAAAGCGGAGAGGAGAAATGGTCTGAGAGACCGAGGCGTGACCGTATACGAAATTAATGTTTCGTTGAGTTTTTCTCTTTCTCTCTCTCACTCTCTCTCTCTCTCTCTCTTTCTCTATCTCTATCTATCTATCTATCTTTCTTTTTCTCTCTCTTTCTCTCTCTTTCTCTCTCTTTCTTTTTCCTCGTCGTTGCGTGACTCAACTCGAGACGACAACGACGACGACAACGATCGTGTCGCGAGCAAATTTTCGGGAGACTTTTCTAGCCCTAAGATTGATCGTCTGATATACCTGACGTCTTTTTATATGCGATAAGAAAGTATAAGTCTTTTCTAGTCTAGTCGGTCAATACCCTGACTAATTCGAGAAATTTTCTCTTGTTATTTTCAGACATTATTATGTGTAGCTTGTTAAACACATACGTTCGTACGATACATCAACGTACATATAAAAATACGTACTAATATCTAATCGTTGCGACAAAAGACATAAGGTTTATCCTGTTTTAGTCGATCAATATCAATGAATTATTTGAAAAGTTTCTTGTAATTATTAAATTTTTTATATGTAAATTATTAAACACGTGTACGTTTATAAACGTATAAAAATCAACGTGTATAGAATATACTTATAAGTTTAATGGTAAAATTTATGTAAAGAAAATTTGCACTTTAAATATAATTAAATATATGTGTGTGTGTGTGTGTGCGTGCGTGTGTGTGTGTGTGTATGTATCGAAATATTATATTCACAAATATCCATTGAAACATCAATAGAAGAAAATATAATGCAATATATCGAAAGAATTTTTTTTTTATCCACTCGCATTGGTCCGACCGACGAAATCGATAAGTAGATTATTCTATTCGTGGTCGGACCACGATCCATTTTATACGGTTGCTCTGATGTTAATAAGATTGTAAAAAAATATTGTTAGAGATGTAAAAAAAGAAAATAAAAAGTGATTGAGTCATATTGATCGTAGTTCTCGTATATGATACAATAGATTTTGATATTGTAAAAGTAAAATCGTAAAAAGGTTTCATACTGTTTTAGAATCCGATGAATGTCTAACGGAAAAGAAAATATAAAGAGAGAGAAAGAGAGAGAGAGAGAGAGAGAGAGAGAAAGAGAGAGAGAGAGAGAGAGAGAGAGAGAAAGAGAGAGAGAGAGAGAGAAAGAGAAAGAGAGAATACATAGATCGAAAGAGGATCGATTTCTTTTCGCTCGTCGCGTGTCCAACGATGGTCGACGGCATTTACAGACATGACGAATATACCGCACAATGTATCGGATTTTATGAGTAACTTCGGCTAGGGAAAAAAAAAAACGAAAGAGAAAAGGAAGAAGGAAGGAAAGGTGACGGGGCGTAGTACGCGAGTAACTCTCGTTGGTCGAAAGTAAAAGAATAAAAAGAATAGAAAGAGAGAGAGAAAGAGAGAGAGAGAGAGAGGGAAATAAGCGGTAGAAGGCACTCAGATTTTATTACGTTATTTTGTTAATGCACTCGGTGGTCCACGCGCCTTGCGACCAGAGACTTTCTGCCCAACGAAAAATATTATGTCCCTCGGTCAGAAAACGGGCCATGAAACCTCTTTATGCCTTCCTCTTCCATCGACTCCTACGCTTCTACGTCCATGGAATTTCACCTATACTCTACTTGCATTAGTACAGGAAGAGTAAGTATTATTCGTTTCTACCCTTACGAAAAGTTGAGGAGAGGTAAAAAGGGTAAGAGAAGGAGAGAGAGAGAGAGAGAGAGAGAGAGAGAGAGAGAGAGAGAGAGAGAGAGAGAGAGAGAGAGAGAGAGAGAGAGAGAGAGAGAGCAGAAAGGAAAGAGGGAAGCGCTAAAGGGAAACTTAATAATGAAGAAACCACACCGCGAGTAGACGACGGAAGTTGGAAGATACCGACAACAATAAGACACTGATAAGGGAAAATCGTGTTTCCTATGGGAAGTCCGAGCTTATAAACGGTTTAAGCCAATGGAAAGTGATATCAACGAAGCGAGTCGTAAGCAGTTGACTCACGTACGCGATTCTTTATTTCTATCTTTCTTTTTGTCGTTTTTTCGAAGACTTTTTTTGTTCTTTTTTTTTTTTTTTTAATCTTTCTCCCTTATCTCCCAATCTTTCCGTTCTATGTGCACGTGATTTTCCTAAAAACAGGATTGGCTATTATTTTAAAGAGTTAATAATGCGCATGTGTATATGTGTACATCATATATATATATATATATATATATAATTCGTCGATTTAACAGATCTCTTTCAGATTTTACCCTTAAAGTTTATAATAAAAAACAATTCACATTTTCGCAAATATATGTTGATTTCGATTGATATGAATGTAATGATGGTAATTGATTGTCTAACAAAATGAATAAAAAAAAAAAGAAAGGAGAAAAAAAGGAAAAGAAAAAAAAGAAAAGATTAAACAAGAAATGTCATTGACGTCTGTAAGTCTATCATCGAATTATATCTAACAAGCGCGTAACTCATTCGAATGAACAAGTTTTATACTAAAGCAAGTAAAAAATAAATGGACATAAGGCAAGTTCCACGAAAACGATTATGTACATTCTTACCAGACCGTTATACCAAGATTTATTATTTACTCGTAGTAATCGTAACTATACAGGCTCGCGTGCAATTCAACGCCGGGTGCAGTAGACGGTCAAAATATTAAAAGTGCATTAGCCAAAGAATGTGCTCTCCTTATATACCGAAAAACTGCATTGACGATACGTTTATGCGAATGGTCCGACCTTTTACAACAGTCGTTTAAGACCAGCTTAACTACAGTCTTGTCGTTTTAAGGTCAGCCCTTCTCACGTATTGTCGGGGGCAATACTTCGCTTGCTCTCTGTCAATAAATACGCCCGAAGATATTTTTACGGTGGTAATAATTTCCGTCGCACACCGTAAATCAAGGAACGGACGGGATGTGTGAAGGGCACACCCTTTTTTTCTTTTCCTTTTTTTCCTCCCACTCTCTCTCTCTCTCTCTCTCTCTCTCTCTCTCTCTCTCTCTCTTTCTCTTTCTCTTTCTCTTTCTTTCTTTCTTTCTTTCTTTCTCACTTGAAAACCGCGAAAAAAGGGCCGCAAGGTCGAAGAAGTTAAGGACCTTAACGTCGTGTCTTGAGTACGTTTATACAACCATAAAAGTATAAACTCTTAGCAAAATTCCTTTCGTGGAATGGACTAATAAAATTGTTAACGTTAAAAAGAGTATATTGTACTTTCAATTGTACGAGCTTAACGCGATTTGTATCGATTATTTTCCATTACGATGGATGACGAGTTTAACATTCCTAAAGAAATACACGTTGTATTGATCTACTTGTAAAAGTGGAGTACATGTACACACAGAGTACTCGTAGTTATGGTACGTATGAAAGTGTGATTATGTAGATTAGTAGTGGAAGTAGTCTTGGTAAATTCCTTACCTGAGTCACGGGAAGTACCAACGAGTCTCTTACATTATTTAACGTGTTTCTCGAGTCGTCACGCGATCGTGTAAAACTCTGCGAGAGGTGCCGCATCACCCTTTCTAATGTTTTCAACGATTGTCCGACACGTAGTATCAAATGGTGTGCCAACTGAAACGAGAAAGAAAATGAGAAAGTTAATAGAAATATTTTCAATTTTATTATGTCATACGGGATTACATATATACGTATATACCATACAAATGTATAACATTGAGAGCGTCTATGAGGGACAAAAAAAAAGAAGATGAGAGAGAAAGAGAGGAAAAAAAATTTGCTAAATCGAATCACCGAGTCGACGTTAAAGTTATAAATCGTCAAGACTAACAATTCGATATGCTTTTCGAGTCGCGAGAAAATGCATCAGTCACGTAATATCCACGTTATACCACACTAAAATACGATGCAATGGTGTAACAGTATAACGGGTAAACTTTAACATGGTTTAGGTGAAGCTCGACTAATGGTTTTTCGACGAGCACCAAATAAACTATCATGAAAGATAATTCGACAGCCGTGAAGAGAGAGAGAGAGCACGTGCCTGTATCGTTAAGGGAAATGTCATTTATACCTGTATAAAGGCAACTACATGTACATCTAAGGCATGACATCTATGAGGATCATTAGATTTACATACACCCCCTACTACTACTATTACTATCACTACTACTACTATACCACGTAATCGTTGCAACGTTCAACGACATCGTGTCTATGGGGAAAGACGATACATCATAATTCCCAGCTACTACTACCTAGGAATAAACCTTCAACCCCTCACTTCACAACCCCTCTCTCTCTCTTTCTCTCTCTCTCTCCCTCCCTTCGGTGAATATCGATATGAAGTCTCTTAGAAAACACGCGATTCAGCGAAACTTAACGAAATATAGAAAATAGAAATATGTCGTATTTTTCGAAGATTATAAAATAAATGTATGTTTTAAAGGAATAATAAAATATTTATGAAAAACTACTTTCAATATAGACGTAAAAATATTGTCTTCTTTCGTTGTAGAAAGTAATATCGGTTGGTTGATAATAAAACGTAACGAGTCATATCCTAAACCCGCAAAATCCTGGGCTCTCTTCCGTTCTCATTTTACGTATTACGACGTATTTTCCGTGCAATCGGCCACGAGAAAAGTACGAGCTGCTTTATGAAATGTACAATGTGAATCGCGTGTACGAGTACGTGGAAAGTTTCTATGAAAAGTGAAATCATGTTTAAAATTGAATGTTAGTATACGACTGAAACGTGGGTTGCCTTTGCTAAACATTCGTAATGTTTTCTTGTTTTTTTTTTTTTTTCTCTAATATCACAGTGTATACGTGTGTACAGAGACACATATGTGTGTGTGTGTGTGTGTGATTACAGTACGTTGTTTACTACAATAACATGTTACAAAATTAAAACAGAAAAAAGTTGTTGGATAAACATAGATACAACTTTATTCATAATACATAAACTTTTTATCAAACTATTCAATAGTTATATTAATTTATTAATAAAGTACAAAAAACTTATTATGAGAACCTGAAAAAAATAATTTCAAGAAATTACAATGATGATGATAATAATACCTTATGATTATTACGCCAATTTTAAAATTTTGCCGCACAACGTCTGTGGATTGAAAAGAAAAACATTATTATGAGGAGCTTCCTTTTGTGATACAGCCTTTATAATCTCTTGAGACATAACCCCACCTACTATGGCACAAATTGGACTAATTTGACCATACAAATCTCCCCTGAATTAAATAAAATATACAATGAGAAATTTTTTTAAGTATATTCTTAAATCAATAAAACAAAAATACATACTCTATCAAAGAATTTATTTTATCTCCTAGTTGATATTTTTCTATAATGGCTGTTGATTCTGTTTTCAATTTTTCTGAACCTCTTTCATTAGGTAAAGGATCACTCTTATACTTCTCACGATAATGCAACATTACTGCAAAATTTAACAAGATTATAATATTTATTTAATACTATAATTATCATTAAGAAAGAAAACACTTACTCATCATCATATAATACATTTCTGATTCTCTTGTAGGAAGACGACTTTTATCTATATCAATGATAGACTCAAAAGGAACGAAATTGTCCTTACGTTTTTCAGTAATAACAATCTTTTCAAATTTTTCTTTCCCTTTGGGTTCACCACCTGCTTCAGCATTTACTGGTTTAGTTTGCACAATATCCCTAAAAGTATAGCTCTTTGTTTATGTCCAATATAAATACTTTTCTACAAAAAGTATTTGTAATTAAAAAAATAATAAAAAAAGTATCTATAATTATTTTTCTACATAAAGTTTACTTACTCAACATATTCATGTTCATCCAAATCAGCAAAAGTATATCCAAAAGTACCCCAAACATCTCCAGCAAAGAATTTTATCTTATGCTGTCTACATATTTTATTAAGTCTTTTTAATTGAGTAATAGTACACTGAGTAGCACAGATAACATTGAAATTACTAAAATATTCATCCGGTTTATCATCTATATTGGTAGAATCTGCTTCTACATTGACCATAGGATTCAAATTCTGAGTTCTTTGTAAAGATGCTTCTGCTTTCTGTGAATACATAATGGCATATAGAAAAATGACATAATTATATTAAATGAATCAATAAAAAACTTACATACATTTTTACCAATCTGATCATTAGGTATAAAAAACTGGGAACAAGTATCTTCTATTGTCATATTTCTGTGATCTAAAAGGGTAATTGTTTTAACGCCTGCTAATATAACATTTTTTGCTATTTCAGCACCAAATCCACCAAGTCCTATCAATAATACTTTTGCTGATCTTAATCTGTAAAAAGATAAGTACACTTATGATATTATTTCTAATATTAATAAATAAAGTTGATTGAAAAAAAAATAAAACTTTTTTATTTTTCTTTCTTAAACTTTTCAAAATGTTTTTATTAAATAAATTTATTAATAATCATAAGATATTTATTACTATACTTTAACGCTTTCTTTTATAGGTTAGAATAATCATACCGTTTTTGCGATTCCAGACCCCATAGACGAATTTGCCGATCGTATAATTCAGCTTCAGCATCCGTTAGCTCTGCGTGATTTTTATCATCGAACATGATAGAATTCGTTACTTAATATACAAGAGATAATATAAAAGATTATTAAAAAGAAATACCAAACAATGTGCAAAAATCTGATAATGCCGCCAAACGCGATACAGTATTACCAACGTTATAATTTCCCGCTTTAAATATCAAACATATCAATAATTTAATCTTATTCGCTAATATAACTTTATAAAATATATTTAATTATATATATATATAAATAACCGAAGAAACGATTTTACTTTATTCAAAGAAACAAATGCGTAATAAATTATATTCCCAAGCAAATTCAAATATTAAGTTGGGAACATTGAATTAAATCATCGCAGAGGCGTTACAGTTCGGTCAGTGATTGTTGCTTTTATGAGTAACATATTATTTTAAAACGATCATTTAACAATGTGCGATAAATTAAACGGAGCACGCATTAACCATTTAAGGAGATTAAATCATTGTTAACGATAATATGGATAGATTAAAAATTTAATTAACAAGTTTTAGGTTAACTACTATAGAATCATAACATGACATTCAACAACGATCTTTCATTTAAGTCTTTTTTATATTATTAAAAGTATTGAAATCATTTCTATTTTCTATAAGTAATAACCGTAAGTATTGCCTTTTCTTTCTTGTTAATATACCTTCACACAGATTTTTGCTGCATGATTAAGATTATATCAATTTACAAGTGATTCAGTTAGTTTACATTAATGCCCTCTTGCGTCGATAACAAAAATCTAAATTTTTTAAACTTTTTTATAGTAAAATATTATATAAAAATAAATTTGATATTTCATGTCACTGAGGGTAATTAATTTTGAAAAAGTATTACGATTTTTAACAATTTTCTTAAACCGAAAGAACTAAAACTTTAAAATATCGTATTTGTTGATAAAATAAATTGAAAAACATATAAAAAAGAAATACAAAATTATAAGAATTAAATCAATAATAAAAAATTTCTATTTAATGAAAATATTAAATTTATTTTAAAAATGGACTTGATCTAATAGATAATTAAATTAGGTGTAAAAATGTTTATCGAGAAAAGATTCATAATAAACAAACTTGCATATATTTCTAAGGATTATCTTTAACCTTTTGATCCGAATGTTGCGAAAGTTCACCTTAAAGCAATAATATTTGCTTTACAATCAAAACCGTATTGACTTCTTATACTTTTGTAATAATCATGTTTTTTTTTTTTTTTTTTTTTTTTTTTTATAATAATACAATTTAATTTCTTAATATATTTAATAGATATATCTTAATCTTTTAATTATTACATTTACTGAAATCAATGTTTTAAAACAATTTATACTAATTTTATATAATATAAGATTTTGAATTTTTAGTATGAAAAATGAATCTACTTGAAGAAGAATATGTTGAAAAGGTTTTTATGTACCGATTTCCAACATGTACAACAAATGAGGAATATGTATTAGAAATACCTTTAAAAATTCCATATCAAGGTTCTATCAAAGAATTGACATATAGGATTATGTCATCATTTAAATTACCATACTATATCGAGTCTGATTTAATGGATACTATACAACGTACTATTAAAGAGTTAACTCTACAATTTTATGATGAGAAGTCAGAAAAAGTTATAAACGCTACGAAGAAAGGTGATCTGAATATAGAGGATATAATTAAAAACTGGGAAAAGACGTATAAACAAAAAACAGTAGAATATGCAGATCCAATAGGAACAACGGATGAAGAATTATTTGCAGCAGCTTACCATAGATTAGTACACTCACCATCTTTAGAACCAATTTTACAAGCAGAACATAAATATGGTAGAGATGTCACAGAAGTCATTCAAATGAGGAACACTGATTACGAACAGCTTACTCAAAAGTTAGTATTTATATACGCAGTCTATGATTTACTTAAGAAGAAAGAAAAGAATAGAAAAAAAAAGAGAAAAAAAAAAGAAGCAAAAAAATATTTTTATTCCCATGTGAACGTTCTTATTAGATAATTAGCTTAATCAGTAAAACAAAAACGTAATGTATAATATTTTATTTATCTATTATATTCCATTAGAAAATCTAATAGCAAAGAAAGGTCAAGATTCCAATATATTATCAATAGAAATATATATAGAACGTGAATTATGATTTACATTGACCTTTCTATATAGATTATCAGTAACTTTAGTACTATTAAGATTATACGGTAAGCAAACGATCGTTTTCACGATTTATTCTTACAACGTACTACTTATCGTGAATTAATTGATGGATTTATTAGGTTTGAATTGAGAAACCTATTTTTTTTTCTTTTTTTTTTTTTCATTTGTTTTTAACTAATAAATTATATAGACACACGATCGTTTCAATAATAACGAATATAATCAACCCCTTTCTTCTTATACGTCTAAAATTCTATAGATAATCCTATATAGAGACGAATAAATTCGATAACGAGTACGTTCCTTATAAGTTATAAATTCTTATAAATCAGGTATGATTGCGTTAACAATAGAAAATCACAAGGCATATTCCACACTTGACCTAAGCAATTAATATATTTTCACTTGAATGCAATTGCCCTACTATCATCATAGAGGCTTGGTTAGTTGACCCTCCGCTATTTAAAGAATATACAAACAGAATATTCCGTTTGAGAATGAATGGAAAAATGTCTTCCAGGCAAACCGAGGAAATGCGTGTTGCCGTTGAAGCTTTAGAAGCTGGATCAACTGAAAAATCTATAAACGACATGGCTGGTCGTCATTTTGAAGAGCAAAGCTTGCTACAGGGCCATTGGGGTTCGAGGGTCGATGCTTTAAAATTAGAACAAAGACGACAGTATCGTAATTGGATTATGAGATTATTGGAAGAACAACAAACGAACATGTTACCAACTCCTGTGTAAGTTTTTATTTTCTTTTTTCTTTTCTTTTCTTTTCTTTCCTTTTCTTTTTCTTTTTTTTTTTTTTGAATCTATAATAAAACAACATGAAAAATCCTTTGATTATATTCAAAGAAATTAATGAATATAATATTAGGGGCTCACCGATGGTACCAATGCCACCGATAAGACCAGCATTAGGTACATTTGTTCCAAACGAAGAAAAACAAACGTCGGATTATACTGTACTCGAAGAAAGTTTTACTATACATTTAGGTTCGCAAATGAAACAAATGCATAATATTCGAATACTCACAGGCGATGTTCTCGATTTTTGTCGAACGAAAAAGAGCGATACTGGGTAAAAAAAAAGAAAAAAAAAAATGAAATTATTTATTTTAACTAATATAAAAATTTTTACAATTTTGCGATATATTTATATAATAGAGATCCAACGCCACAGAGATTGCAAACGGCTTTAGGATTATATTCGAACGATTTATGTGGATTGGTTTTGTTAAGCGACAATCATCTCGGAAGTTATTCCGGAATAACGAAAGGTGTTCGATTAATAAATAATCGTTAATTAATTATTATAATTAACTTTTAATATATCTAATACACCGCGATGCATTGTAGAATTGTGCTCGATATGTCAATTGACGACAGAATTTCATTTTCCACCGATTGACGAACAGTTAGAAAAAATTCGTGAGGATGTAAAAGAAGTTGTAGCTTGGCGACAAGCTCATCATCGTGAAGGAAGTGATCCTCAGGTAACATAGTATCCTCTGGATTTTATTAATGTCAATAATGAAGATCGATGATTCTTCATGATTTTAGACAAAAAAACCAATGAGTAAAACGTTACAAACTGGTGACGTTTTTATCACGAGACATTCCAATTTAGCACAGGTCCATGTAGTATTTCACATGGTGGTAAATGATTCATTAAGATCTGGTAGGTGTGATCATTATCTATGAACAGAGATAGAAAGAGAAAGATAGAGAGAGTGAGAGAGAGAGTGAGAGAGAGTGAGAGAGAGTGAGAGAGAGAGGAAAAGGAAAATTACAAAAAAAAAAGGGAGAAAGAGAAACATATTTTCTAATTAACAAATCGTAGGTGATATTAATTCAAGGCATCCGGCCATTTTGGGGTTGAGGAATATTTTAAAAACAGCTTGTTGCAATGACGTTACCACCTTGACTATACCAGTCCTATTAGTTCATGAAATGACAGAGGTCAGCAGTTTTCATGATTTTTATTTGAAATACGACTTAAAGAATTAATATATAATTCGATCGATTTTTAATCATCAGGAAATGACAGTGGCATGGTGCACCAAAAGGGCCGAACTCGTTTTCAAATGTGTCAAAGGTTTTATGATAGAAATGGCATCATGGGGTGGAGCAGAATTGAAGAATTTACAATTTCTTGTACCAAAAGTACATCAGATATATATATATCTTTCATACGAAATATTATCATATAGTATTAATACTATCAAATTTCTAATCATTATTAATATACCTATGTATTTTTCATAGGGAATGTCGGAAGAAGTTTTTGGAACACTAGCGACGATGTTACCTAGCATATTTCGCGTATCGAATCCATTGGTATTTAAAGCTACGAGTACACCGCAAACTCCAAAAAAATGATCGCCTATCTTGCCTTTGTTATTGAACACGAATCCAAAATATTACGATATTTGTTACTATATATTGCATATATCTAAAATATAATAATTCATTTCGAACGGTTAATGATGATACAAACGCTGTGAATAAACGTCTGACTCTTAATGAACTTTTTGTTTATATTTATTTCGCACCGTAACACTGATTTCGCAATAAATCATTTGCGTTGTTTTTCTTTCTTTTTTATTTATTTATTTATTTTTTTTTTATTTCTTTTTTCTTTTCTTTTTTATTTTTTTTTATTCTTTTCTTTTTTCATTTGCTCTCTTCCTTCGGCCAAACGCGAAGAGAATTATTCTTTTAAAAAAAAAAACGGCCGGAATAAAATTATATTGTAGAATAAAATATGCCGATATCGTATAGGTTGGCAGGGATTAATAAAAAAAATTTACAATATTGATAAAAAAAAAATGGTCTTTAATTTTACGAGCTCCCGAGCAATAACAATTTGTATCGAAGGTCAGAGAGCAAAAAAAAAAAGGAGGAGAAGAGGAAGAAGAAGAAAATGATTATACCTGGGTATAATATAAATTTAAAAAAAAATCCTTGGGTCTCACTCTTTCTTTCAATATCGTACAAAATGATAATTCGTTCACGGATATATGCATAATGATATCGTACATTTTTAAATGTTAATTAATTTAACCGATGATGCAGAACTCGATGAAAATGTTATCATTGTTAGACTTTCAGTTCATCTACACGAAGTCATCTTTATCACGTTCTCCCTTTATTTTTATTCCCAATGAACATGGTAAAAAATAGATTACGTTTATAACATTTCGTTGCACCGAAAATTTTCAAACAATACTTTCTCTCTCTCTCTCTCTCTCTCTTCTTCCTTTCTTTCTTTCTTTTAAGATCAACACACCGACGAGATTTTACAATCAACGTCAGCTTCAAATCGAACTCTCCGATATCAATAAGTCTATACGAACGGGTGGTGTGTAAATTATATTAAAAAAAAATATATAAGAGCGATTAAGCTCGACGGTAAAAACAATTATACGTCCGGTAGCTCATGATTGTACTGATATTAATAATAGTATTAGTAACGGGGAAACAAGTGCGAGTGGCTAAACGCGAGTAATAATCGCGGTTTATC